ATTCATTATTTTTATAGGTCTTATTATTACAAGGATTTCCGTTAAATTAGGAAGCTGGCGTGTTGTGCTTGTTTTGTTGATTTGGTTTAACTTTTAGAATGCATTAGTTAATACCTATTGGGTTTTATTGTAACATCGCCATTGGATATAAGTTCTCAACTTTACAATGAAATTAACAAAGGAAAGTATGTAACTGAAAAGTTTTAATTACTATTTAGTTAAGTTTATTTATTATATACTCATACTTACACACACTCACGCTCATATTATATTCCTCGCAGGCGCAGATCGAGGCGTATTTAACGTCCACATTATGCCGACTATCCTGTTAGTCGCATAGAGTTGGGCGCTTTGAGAATCAGATGGGAAAATTGACAGTATATTGAAGGGAAGGCAAGGGGAGGCAAATGGTATTGCTTTTATGGATGAGTTAGTGTCGCATACCTGTAACTTAAACTAGCTGTTGCCAGAAAGTTTGAACCCTCTAACCTGATATGCACTATTTCGAAATAATAAAAATAACCAATTTCTTTATAACAACATCATCATAACATTTAATTACTGTTTAGGTACTCGCCGCTTTTTTGTTTGGTGTCTAGCATTTTAATATAAACAACATACCATGACTTTTCATATCGTTTATTTTAAGCATATATTTTTCTTACAATCGGGATCTTTATGAAGATCCTTGGCTTGTACCACTTACCCACAGTTTCAATCATGTAAGTTCTTTGTCTTTCTAAATGTTAACTTATACAGATAAACTTTTAAGTTTAGTTTTACAGTCTCAAAATAGCAATTTTCCTAAAACCTTTATATCATTTATAATGGCTACTAATAGCCAACATTTTTTTAAGATTCTTTAAACGTAATTTAATATGTTTTGTGTTACATAAACTGTGTCAACAAATTTAGTAACCTACATTAAATTTATATCATTTCACTGAGCGTAATTCATTCCAATTCTATTGCATTTTAAATTGTATAGCTATTTGCTACTACTCGTAGACGAAATAAGTTTAAAGTACCAAATACTTTCTTAACAGCTGTAAGTGGGAAAGTAAAAATTAGTTTCCGTCCACAGTTCATTAATTTCACGACCGCTATTACATTTTTTTGTTGTTTGTAAATAAGTTCACGATGCCTTTGTGTTGCACAAGTTCAACTTTTTATATGTTTGTTATTCACTTTGTGCTAGTTCTGATTTGATGTTATGTCATAGTTCCTAATATTCCTGTGGTGATACGAAGAGTAAAAAAAACATGGGTATGTCTTATAAATCTTATCTAACTGCTGAATGGGGAAATAAGAAGTGCATAAAATTTCTAATGCGTGCCAGAACTTACCCGATTGCGTAATGGAAATATGTAATATGTACCTTGACCATCTAGAAAAAAAATAACGTTACGGGAAGTACAAATACGGTATCCGCAATGATTTAAATACACGGATGTACGAAGGTTCCTGTTCAACGCATCGTACTGGTTTTTAGATATCGACTGGTTCCTTGATGATAGCAGAGTAATACACCTTTCTTATTTGCATATAAAATGCAATTTATTTACGAATACCTAAGGCGTACTTATTATATATGTGGGTGACTTTTGTGATCGTTGTTCGGGCAAATACTATGAAAGAAGATCCTTTACACTTTTTTTAAAGGTATGATGTCGTATGAACCGATTGTAATATAAGGAAATAAGTAATACTTATTTTGTTTCTAAATACTAATTTAGAAACATGATAAGTATTATTTAATTAATAAAACTCTCTTTAATGCGTCTATTCATTTAAGATTATCTGACTTTTAATTATATTTAAGATTAACTGAATAACTTAAGACTAGTGTCATAGTTCAAGCCCGAACGGTTTCGGATTATTTATTTCTAACACCATCAATAAATAGTGCAATGGCAATAACGATACCACGGCCTCATGGAAAACTAGCACTAATCAATTGTTTTATTTCTTTTCATAGTGATTAAGTTTATCAGAGGCCCTTACAATCAGTTGACAGGTCTTCTCGTTTGCTTCTCATATACCTCTTGCAAGATTCTAACCACAACAGATATGTATAGGTCTAATGACGATATATATATGTGACTTATAGATTAGTAACCTTTACTATATTCTATCGAACATACCTTTTGTTGAGTACTATGCAACACAAAATTAACGTCCAATATGTTATTTACACTCTTACTTCTAACGTGTGCAGTAAAGGAGTCCGGCCATTCAATATACAGAATACAAATAGCCATTTGTCCATAGTTAGCATGTGATATGGTTAACTGTTTTTAAAGTTTCATTCAGTGTTGGTATTTTACATTAAAATTTTAATTGAACCAAGCGGGAAGTAACTCTTAAAATCGGCCCATAATTGACGGAGCTCTGAGGTAACAAACAGTAATAATTGAAAAAAAAAAACAAAAACCCAACTGCAAAAAGACAATTTAAAAGTATGTCTTAAACTAACAAAACAGCACGAGATCCGACACAAACATGGCCCGTTTTTACGCTATCAAAAACTTTATAAAACCATTTTTTTTATTCCTTATTAAATTTAAAGATATAACATATATTTATGTAATTTTGTGATCCCTTATAATTTTCTTGATTTGATGCTCTACTCGATAGGTTTGGTTAATTTATTTTATTAACCTATTACTGTTTTATATAAAAAAAATCCATCGAAGGACAATTGGGCCCGAAATCCATCCCGCCATTTAGAAGATACGAAAATTTACAAACAAACATACAAGATAAGCGCGAAAAACATAACCCTTCCCTGGCAGTCGATTGAAAGAAACAGACGAATTGAGAAAAACTTTCTTCTTGCAGTAGGTTAAAAATACACCTACTTATGCATTTAAATTTATAAAAAAAAATAGTATAGACGAGACTTTTCAGTGTCTAATTTAATGAGGAACATCAAAATAGGCACGAATGTCAGCTCTTATAGACGTGAAAAAACAAGCACTATTTAAATAGGTAATATCGTATCGCATAATTAGAAACTATATGGAAAATCTAATGACAGTAAAGGACATGTTTTTTTTTTAAACGAAAGCAAATTGAAGTGTTTTGTCACAGCTGATCCTGGAAAATAGACGGCCTGTTAGTCTGGTGGTTATTAATCCTGACTAAGCCAGAGATCGTGGGTTCGATTCCCACCCATGACAACTAACGAGCATCATCATTTGTTCTGTGTCTGGGTGTACTTTATCTATAATATGTAGGTATTTAGAAATATATAAGTAGGTATGTCTATCGGCAGTCTGGTTACCGTAGTAAATTCACTACCTAGTTTGGGATCAGACGGTCGTGTGTGAGCTATGTGAGGTTATTATTATTATTTAAACGTACCCATGTTTTTGTATTCTAGAATTCTTAATAAAAACTTTGCTTCTATTGTGTCCAAAATGCATTAATATGTATCACAGAATATGATTATATTAAAGTCTCTTATAAATAACATAAATGGGTAAGCGAAAGTCCGAGAGTAAACAGGGACATTCATTGACACGATAAAATTAAAAAGAGATGAAAACTGCAAAGTGTTGTAACAGTCATGGTCTAATAAATACCTATTTTGAACCTAACAAACGTTTCAACAGAGGTGCGGGTACACTACAGTGGATAGGTTGACTGACACGTTGAAGGTGTTAAGTCTGTTACATATTTATTGCAATATTCAAACCAATATAGGTTTTAAAGTAATTCCGAAATAATGAGACAAATTTAACAAACATAGATACGGTCAACAATAAATAAATCTTTGAATGTGGTATTTTTAGGACAACTTTTTTGTGACTGAATATGTGGATAAGGAAGCTTTTAAAAAGTCTAGTCAGATATTTCTTATTTGAATAAAGATAGGAATAAATAAACGTTTATACAAGTCTAACAAACTAACACGTGGGTATACAGATTTAGATTTGCCTGGACTTATCTCGATTTCAAACCAGAAGCGTCAGCGCCGGTAACGTTTTTACACGCTTTATATTAGCTTCACTTGTATGTTTGTTTGTATGTTTGTAACCGACTCCTTTGGGCGTGATTTTGACTGACTTTAAACGGTCAGAATTCGTTCAAACTTTAAATTTAAAAAAATAAATAAAAAAAAATATAGTTTTAAAAAACTAAAAAATACGCTTTCTATAGAAAACCAAACTAAAAAATAGAAAACAAATTTGAAAAAAAGCGTGGGGTGCTTTTTACTATTGACAACAGGCACCCAACGCTTTTTTGTTTTTTAGTTTTTTAAAACTATAATTTTTTATTATATTCTTATTCAACGTCTAGGAAATATTACAGTGTTTTGGTGGTAAATATTACAGTGGTATAATCAAAGCAAACCTTTAAATGTCCACTGATCGCTTGCACAGGCCATACAGTTTGTCTATTATTGTGTCACAGTAGTCTTTAATTGAACGTTACGTAACGTGATTTTTAGAAAAAAATATTTATTTTCTGTTAACACTTCACTTCTTACTTTTAATAAAGCGCAATGATTGCTCTCGTAACCTTCTCCATTGTTAGGAAATAATGAGTTAGACTGATTTAAGAATATAGAACCAAACATTTTTTGTTTCTATCCTTTCTGTCGACTTTTAGAGGAAAAAATTAAAAACACAGAAGTGCTGAAAATATCGGATCACCTCGTTAAGATATCTGAAACCAAATAGTGATTTCGACCCAAAAATAGTGATTCCTAGGTTGCAGCAGCAGGTTGTAGTCATCATTTCTGGCAACGTCCTCTCTTCCTTGATGCACCCTAGCAATGCAAGTAACTAGTTGTATCGCCAGTTGATAATTTTAACTTTTCCCTTTGGTTCACAAAAGCTACCAAAGTAGGACAAGCCACTGGGCTGCTCCTGCTGCCACCTTGTGCTGTTTGTCTCTTTATTCTTTCTTAATAACGGACTTCGCCTTACACATTTTTCCCCTACTTTAATTCATATCATTATTACTGTAACTTGTTTTTTTATTAATTTCAGTTGCTGCCTATAGTATTATCAGTATCATCAATAAAGGTACCAGTCGATAATGTAGATAGTAATGAAGACCGAGTTTCTGACGTTACAGAGGAAATAAAAAGCACGCCTGTTTATTATATTAAAGAAGACGGAAACTTGGATAGCTATCTGATTCCTCCTGATCCTCACAAGCCCGATGAGGCATTTTCAGACGTATTGCCTACTCCTGCTACTTATCTTATACCACCCATAAAAGAACAACAGTCAGATTTCTACATTCCCGCAGAACCCAGTGCACAGAGCGACTGGCTACCTATACTTCAAACGCAATCTCAAAATAACAGGCATGCTAGACTGCAAAGACCACTTCTTGAAACAATTCCAATTTTTATGAATGAGGGTATACACGCACTTGATGGAGGTCAATTTAATTTACCGATTCCAATACCGTCTACTCAACTTGTACCACCTGCAGTCGATGCCGTCAACGAGTTCTTGACACCAATAGTACCTCAAGCTGAACAAAATCAAGCAAATTATGTGCCTAATTACAATTTTCCGGTTTACGAAGATAAGAGAAACGGACCGACTCTAAATCCACAACTTGAATCCGCGGATCCAACCCTTGCTTTACATCTCTTACCCCCTAAACTTCAACAATCATTAAAACTTCCAACAAAACTGTACCCAAAAAAGTATACTAATGACTTTCGGCCAGTTCCGATACCTTTAAATCTCTCCTCCCAAGAAAAGGAGCCCCAGGTTCCAAAAGCAAACCCTGCGAAATTCTTCAAGCCACCACCCAGTATCGAAGATGAATACCAATTCACACCTCCTGCCGAAAAGAACTTCTATCATTACAAGAAAGCAGAAAATAAACGGAAATTGAAAGGGGAAGAGGAAAGTCTAAAGGTGAATTGTTTAGGAGAACAATATTATTTAAGATAAAAAGTAAATAAGTATGATTATAATTTAAAAACTTGTATTGTTTTCAGCAACATCAAGACGATGCGGATGCGGAAACATACGGCGAGCCTACTTCAACTGAACAACAAACTTCGGAAACTAACTTCAGATACCCCGGACGTACGTGTGATGTAACTTAATAATAACAACAATTATTGTTAGAAGTGGATTAGATATATAAATCAAAAACTTGTTAGAAGTTACCTTAATATAATGTCAATAGATTATTCGACCCTCCTTACAGTCCTTCAGACAACTATGGAATAATATTATTGTTAAAGATACAATTTTGGTAACTTTTCATGTACATTATTGAGAACAGACAGAACGGATTCAGAATTGGTCTCTGTATAGGACTACACATAGATCAATTCTCATTGTGAAGCAGTAAAGCTCTCGTTTTTATACCTACGTAGTAAGTAAGTATATATTTGATTTTGATTAAGGTAGAGATTATGTTATGTGCTTTGCGTAATACGATTTTTATCATGTATTCATCATTATCATCATCATCAGCCTATCGCAGTCCACTGCTGGACCTAGGCCTCTCCCATTGCACGCCACTTAGATCGACCTGGCTTGTGGGCGTTCTACACTACGTTTGCCGAGACGCGGTCTCCACTCAAGAACTCGTTTTCCCTAACGGTGGTCGGTTCTGGGACTGATATGGCCAGGCCACTGCCACTTCAGCTTGCTGATCCGGTAGGCTATGTCGGTGACCTTGGTTCTCTGCCGGATCACCTCATTCCTGATGCGATCCCTTAGAGAAACGCCGAGCATAGCCATTTTCATAGCACGTTGAGCGACTTTGAACTTGTGGACCAGCCGTACCGTGAGTGTCCACGTTTCGGCTCCGTATGTCATGACGGGTAGGACGCACTCATTAAAGACTTGTCTTAAGGCACTGTGGGATCGACAATGAGAAGACTCGACGTAGCTTCCCAAACGCTGCCCAACCCAACTGAATTCTTCTGTTCACCTCGTCCTCGAAGTTGTTTCTACCTAACTGCAATGTCTGCCCGAGGTACATATACTTTGAACAACTTCGAGACCGGCACCGTGTACCGCAATCGGTTCCGGTACATGTTCGTTAACCATGAACTTGGTTTTCCAAGTTCATCCGTAGGCCGATGCGTACAGAAGAGTCAGCTAGGTCATTCAGCATCTGCTGTAGGTCCTGCAACGTCTCTGCCATGATGACGATGTCGTCTACAAATCGCAAGTGAGAGATGTATTCGCCATTGATATTGATGCCACGCCCTTGCCAGTGCAGCGTCTTGAACATGTCCTCCATTGCATTTGTGAACAATTTCGGGGAAATAACGTCCCCCTGTCTCACTCCTCGATGCAATGGTATGGGCCTTGTTTGCTGTTTCTGTACTTGGACGGACATGGTGACGGCTTCGTAGAGACATTTCATCACTTGGATGCATCGCTAATCTACTTGGCAACGCTGCAGGGACTTCAGAACAGACCAGATCTCGATCGAGTCGAAGGCTTTCTCATAGTCCACGAATGCTAGACACAGGGGCTGATTATAATCTTCGGTCTTCTGTATAATCTTCGAATTCGTCGAGTCTTTGCGCAAGACGGTTCGTGATGACTCTCGTAAACAGCTTGTAGACGTGGCTTAAGGGATATGGGTCGATAGTTCTTCAACATGGTCTTGTCACCCTTTTTGAAGAACAAGACGACCACGCTCCTACTCCATGCTTCCGAAGTTCTCCCTTCAAACAGGACAGCGTTGAAGAGCTTTTGGAGCTCCCTTAGTACGGGTTTTGCAGCTTTGTTGTAACGCCATCCTCTCCAGGGGCTTTTCCATTTTTCAGCTGTTCAAGAGCCATCTCGATTTCATCAATGCTAACTTCTGGCAGGTCTTCGGTGTAGTGACGTGTTAATGTGGCTCTAGAGTCCTCATATTCGGGATCAGGTCGAGGTGCATGCGAAGCGTATAACCGGCCATAGAAGCTTTCCACTTCTAAAAGGACTGCCGGCTTCGAAGCAACGACTTCTCCATTTTCTGTGGTCAACTTTGTCAGGTGGCTTCTTCCAAGAGATTGTACGAACACTTTTGACCCCCGATTCCGCTCGATCGCTTTTTCAATTGAAAGAGCATTGGAGCACCGGAGATCGTGTCGTACGAGTTTACTGATCTCTCGGTTTAGATCGCTCGATCTCGCTTTGCCGACAAAGTGAGAGGTGGGTTTTCCCGTCGTTTCTTCATCAGCCCTAGGGTCCTTTCTGAAAGCTTCGACTTAATGACCTTACGCTGCATTTCACAAATCTCGTACCTTCTTCCCTGAGGATCCGAACCACATTTTCGAGGTTCTGGTTTACGTCGGTTGTGGTATTGCTAAGAATAGAATAGAAAAAATAAACGGGTTTTTCTGTAATGTGAATTCCTAACCGCCCGCCCCGCGTCGTTAAAAATACTGTTACTGGCCGGGGATTCGATAAATAAACTGCAAGCACTGTATTTATAAACACTTACTTTTACAAACATTAATTAAATATATTCTTTTAATAATTCCTTAGTCGCATTAGAATATCGCTTCGTTGGTGATCCGCTGTCTCGTAAAACAATACTCGCCCGTACGGCCAACACGCTAAGTTTTTACAGGGCTGCCGAAATAACCAGAATAATCCCTAGGATTCGATAGACCGTTTCAGATAATAAAGAATTTTCAAGTATCAATAATCTGCAGTTACCCGATGGCGCTGCAAGTATCGGAATTATGAATCATGATCTCAACGCGTACTTCTTGATCTGTATCAATTGATAGTAGATAGCGCTGTCCCCCATATTCCTTCATACGACTCTCGACTGTTAACGAACTAACTACACACTACCGTTTAATCCTACGGCGCAACAATACGTATAAATTTTGTATGTAGGTATGTAAAAACCCGCAAGTTTAAGTTTAAGACATATCGAAAAGCAAAAAGTATTGGCATTACCTAATGCAAGTATGTTTATCTTATATTTGACAATAAAATATTTGCGTGTTTTGGTCTCAACGTATTCTAAAAAAGAATAGATTGACAACAAAGAAATGACGGATAAATTTTTGAGTTACCTATATACTATTAGTTGTAAGTATAGGTCGTTTATTTAATGTTTGTTAATGGAATTTTTAGGAAACGTATATCCTGCTCCATTACGTCAGGAACCCCCGAAAGTACCCCCTCATGATGAGAGCTCTGCGGCAGCCCCCGGCTCCGATGGTAGGACAGAGTTCAGAATGCACGGCATGAAGGGACCTCACAGTTATCAATTCGGATACGACACTGGCAAAGGGTAAGTATGTCTGATATTTATTAAAATAGATGCTACTGCGAACCCATAACTGATATTAAGTGTAACATCAATAAATTTGACAGTAGTATATGAGCCTAGCCTTTTATTAAACTTTGGTAGGTAGTCCCTATAGAGCGCTCACAAATATGTATTGAAAAAAATTTTTGAATACGAAAATTTACGTAAGTATAGGGAAGAGGAGAGCAAATGCAATCTTTATAATGGTTATAGAAAACCTTAAGCAATTCTTCCGTTACTACTAACTTTTTTTACTCCTGTAATTCTTTCGTAGCTTTCCACTAAATGGAGACGTTAAGAAGCTCACTATTCTCTTGTTTGCCCCCTGTATCATAAAAAGCCCTTTGTAATAACGCACTTTATGTCCGGTTTGAAGGGTCAAAAGTAACTTGAAACTTTGTTACGCTTTTAGGTACAGTCAAGGGTGACCGCGACCGTACCTACGCAACTAAGTACAATAATACTTGTTTTATTATTGCAGGAAAAATCGTCAGTTTCGTTACGAAGAACGTGACAATGAGGGACTTGTTCACGGACACTACGGCTATATGGACAAGTTAGGAAAACTTCGTATTGTGAACTACAGCGCTCATCCTAAATATGGATTCCGTGCTGAGGAGCCCGTCGAGAGTACTCCCCAAACCGCCAAAGTTAAATGAGAATATCGCATGTGATCGGATTCGGGTATACCTAATATAATAAGTACAAATTATCTTATCATTATGACCTCCAACTCGTCTTGGCACATATTGGTAGAGGTCAATCATTAAGTTTTCTTCTGTACATATATACGTAACTAGGTATACTACTACCAAATAGTTAAAATGTTTTATACAACGGAAAATATTCTTCATTTATTCCTTTTTATCATGTTCGTAGTGAGGAATATTATCGTTTCGAAAAATAACTTGCTCAAAAAGTCAAAATCAGTATTGTTATGTGATTTCACTACAAAAATCATTCGCGTAATAATTAATGGATGCCCTAAATGTGGCACCCTACCACTTGTATGTTTAAACGACCTGTACGTTTCATATTAAGTCGGTATCCTAGATAAGTCGCTGTAAATTCGTTACCTTAAGTGTCATATAGTAGATAAGCTATAATAATTAATTTATATGTTAAAATAAAAAACATATGTAACGAAAATAAACAAACTTTATATAAAAATATTTTTCATTTACATCATTTATATATTTACAACTATGTTCATATAAGTTTATTTTAGTTTACCTTCCTATGAAATAAAGTAGGTAAGTCTAAGGACACACTCCTTGTGTAACATTCCCTAGTCTAAGGTTTAATGCAGACAACAGTTGCCGTTCCTCTCCAAAGACCTGATGCTGGTAAAAAAAAGAATATAGTGTGATAACAACTTTAACAAGTGATTCGAACCTCATTTGAAAAGCGACATATCAGCGGAAAAAGTTTGACATTGTTTCATAGGTAATACAATATTTTAATAAAATGTTTATCAGTAAAGAAATATGGCTGTCTCAAAAATAGGCTATTGAAAAAACATAGTAGAACTAATTCTCGACATGAAGTTTATCAATTATTTTGTCTAGCAAACTGGATGCACCTATGCGAAATAATTTAGGTGTGAGCCATTCTGGTCCCAACTCTGTGTATACAAGGATCAACCAATTGACGGCATCCTGTCCTGTCTTTATTCCACCCGCTGGCTTTAATCCCACCTGAAAAAATAAGGAATGTCATTGAGTGTGGTTGGTATGTTGTTGAAATACCGATATTTTTGGGACACAAACTACGTTAAATAAGCTATCAATTTAATACATAGGAACAATTCATCATTTAGATTATAATCCAGAATTAGAATATGGCTTCACATGCCTGAATGATATATAGATAGATAGATAACTTTTTATTTGCACACTAAATTACACAGTTACAGAATTACGGCCTTATTGCTAAATGCAATTTCTTCCAGGCAACCTTATATATATGTATAGTTTAAATTGAACCATTCAAACTGGAAACCTGTACAGGTTGAATATAGCAACCCACATGATTTACCAGCTGCACCCCACGGTGTTTCTGGCGGTTTATCAGTTATATTTAAATGTCTTGCTCATTCCACAGGCATTCTACATTTTTTCGGGATTAAAAGTAGTTTATCAAGGGTGTCAGCTACCTCCACACCAAATTTAATTGAATTCCGTCCAGCCGTTTGAAGAACTAACAAACATACACACACTTACAAACTTTCGCCTTTATAATATTAGTGTAATTTGTAGTATTGTTTTTAAATACCATTATAATTAAATCTTTTATTCTGTCATTCTAACCTTAACACCAGTCATCTGATAGTATTTTCGAATAGCTCTGCACATTACTAAGCCAACAGGCAAAGTAGCATTAACTTCTTCCATTCCAGTTGATGTCTTTATAAAGTCCGCACCAGCCATCATAGACACCATTGAAGCTTTGTAAACCTGATATAATAATGCTTTATTAATAAATGAACACACTGAACGCTTTACTGTTTTTAGAGTGTTGTATATCATTCACACCTACTTATAAGCTGTCTGTTTAGGTGTGAAAGAGATGAGTTACTGTCTTATTTGAAGATAATCAGTTGAATTCAACATTAATATAATTTATGTATTAATTTAAAGGTTTTCTTTTTAAGTTATATTACTTTATACCTATATAAATGAGTACATGGTAAAACAAACACGTTTAAAATGTACAGAATCTAGTAATCTTAAAGCACAATTTGAAATATTATTACAACTTACATTCTCATAAGAGCCCAATTGTCCAGTACCAAGAATGACTTTCAGATGAGCTGTACCACATGCTTTCTTCATTTGCTGCACTTCATTGTACAATGTATCCCACTGACCCGTTAAAACTAAACTCCGGTCAAGTACAACATCAATCTCATTTGCTCCACTTGATACTGCAAACTCCACCTCTTTCAATCTGGTTTCTAGGCTATACAGGCCAGAGGGAAAACCTGTAGCAACTATTAAACATTTTTTTTTAATAGAATGTTGATCCGCAAAATAGTGAAGTAGACTTTATAGAATCTTTTGGTTGTTTGAACACATGTAGATATCAACTTGGTATTAACATCTAATACTTATATCTGTGGTATGTTGTAACTGTAAAAATCAAGCTTTTAAGTGAATTGAATCATATTCGATATCAATCAAATCAATAAAAGAAATGGCCCCTGAAGCTTTAAATATTTGGTGGGAAAATAAAAACCTACAGAGAATTTTATGTTGACTTAGAATTTTGAAATTTGGTTTGAAGCAAGATTTCATTAGTAACAGAAATATTTATTGATAGTATAGTAGACAATATATTTTTTTGCAATAACAAAATTCTGTTTTGTACTTGATATTCTGATTGTGCCATATAACAATGATATTTTATTAAACAATGGTATAGGAAAGTATTTTTATTGATTTTGACAAAATATTTTAAATAATTTAATATAATCATGTGTGAATTACCAGAGGCAATATTAACTTCACTGAGTATGTCCATTTTTTTGAGTGCTTCATATACATCTTTTACTCTGCTAGGGTAGACACAAACTGCCGCAGTTCTAATTTTTTTTTCTAGTTTTAGTGTCTCAAAAATGTTTGGTGGTAATGGATTTGCTGCCTGAAAATATGAATTCATTTTTCATGGTTATCTACTAGCATAGTGCAAGATAGCACTTTTTACTTAACTTAAAAACATGCTTAAATAATATATATATTTTCACACATCTCACACACAGCAGTCTGATACCAAACTAGACAGAGCCTGTACTATGGTAATCAGACTACTGATAAGCATACATATATATATATATTTCGAAATACATACATACATAGATAGACACAGAATAAATGATCTAGCTCATCACACAATAATTTGTCCTGGGTGGGAATCAAACCCAAAACCTCTTGCGTAGTCAGGGTCACTAAACACTAGACCAACAGGCCAGAATGTGAATAATATTGAAATAACAGAAGTTATAATAAATTGTTTAACAGTCTTAATGGGAGAGCCATACTTTGGCATATATGAACTAGCCTTACCAGAGCAGCCTAACAAGAAACTGGTCTTAAATAATTCTTTTGGTAGTAGTAGTAAGTAGTTTTCTTAAGTGAGCAGCAGGTGCTGTTCTATAAGAAAATAGCTTTGCGTACAGTACTTCCACAGCATCGCTAAACTACGTTTGTTTGAAATTCGTAGCTACAGCACTGACATACTATCGAAATTTAAACCATGTATTAGATGTATCAAAATTGGACTAAAAAACTAAAAAAAACTGAAATATAATATTTTTCTATGCTTATTTTTAAAAGTGAATCTACAGTTTGATTTGAAGTTTAAAAAAGGGAAATTGACTTGTCAGTCTAAAAGAAATATATTATAATATACAGACCTTGTTACACAGTCTTAAAACATTAGATCTGGTGTCATCTCCAGCTAGTGTAGTAAGGTCAATGTGGGTGATGGCCTTTAAAAGCCATGCATTGAAATTTTCAGGTAATTTTACAACATGATTACATAAGATCGTTTTGATCTGTGCATCAACACTTGATTTGTTGATATGTACATTTTTTAAATAGTTCAAGTCTAAAATAAAAAAAAGATAAAATTAGGAATGTCTTTAACAAATTACATATTTTTACAGTGTAGTGCAATAATAGAGTTAAGTATTAGAAAAATAAAATGTAGAATTTGTAAATAAATCCATCTTTAATATTTCCTTTTGGGATAAAAGGCACATTCTTTTCTGCCCTGATAATGTGTGTGTCAACTTTCATGATGCTCTGTTAATTAGTTCAGACTTAAGAGATAGACAACTCACTTTAGTACTTTTGTTATTAAGGTTCAGAGAGAAAATATAGCCTAAATGATTTGATGTCGTCACTCGTAGCAGTCTCGTGTCATAATTATGGTTCAATAAAGATAACCGAATCGTCATATAGGTAAATATAATAATATAACATAACAAAAAAGTATTAAGACAAAAAATACTATTTCCTCAATGTAAATAAAGCTTAGCTTGGTACAATTGGAAACTATAATTAATTAATAGCTATATATTGAGTAAGAATCAAAATACCTATTAAAACTTTAGTTATCAAAACTTTGTCGTAAGTGATAAAACCAACTTGTTATCACCACAAGTATTAAACAATAAAAGAATATCTTACCTAGCCCTTTTGACAATGTTTGCACCATGTTTTCAACTCTTTGGTTTATAAATATAAAATAGTTTTAGAGGTCTTAAAATTACGCATCAAGTAATTAAGATATTTAAGTAGGCAAGGCCAGCTAATGATTTAAAAACAAATGAAAATGAAGTAAAACAAGAAAGACATTGAAAAAGGACAACTGACAACTGACTGACATACCGGGAGCAGTACCTATTTAATTTACATTTGCTTTAAGATTCCCAATTGCGATGTTGCCATGTATGTTGGTCAAAAATAAACAAAAGTCACCGGACAAAAAAAAACATGTCGTTACGGGATTACCCGTTCAAATTTCGATATTAACATTAATATTTTTTAAAGTCGTTGTTCAATACCCTAGATAAAAGTCGAAATCAGGTTAGAGTATGCACCTAAGCATAAACGTTAATTAAACCCTGTAGTTATCATTATACATAAAATTGATATTACGATATTTAAAAAATTTCTAGTGTTAAGGTCAGTTTAATGTAAACCAGCAGATGTTTTTTGCCAATCAATCAATATCATAGATATATATAATAATTGATTAATAGAAATAAATTGAGTGCTTGTCTTAACCAAAAAAATTAAAAAAAAATCAGGTAAATCAAAATATTTTCGTTATAAGAATATAATTCAAATTATTTATTTAAATTTATATAGAATTTTATACACATCTGCTGGATAAAGAATATGCTCAGTTAGCTGAATTTCAAATATTGAACTAATTTTAACGGGTAAGTTAAATCTTTTAAGTCTAAAGTAATAGTCACCCAACTTATAAAATAGACTGTATGATAACTTTTAACCATAAATAAAAATACATGTTTCACTCATATAATCATACTTTACTCGTACTTTAAAACGATGATAGCGAGAGGAAGTATATTCCATAAGTGGCGGATTTACCAGCAGGCTGAGTAGGCTGGAGCCTAGAATGACAAATTTGGCCTACAAATAAAAAAAAACATATACACAGAGAAAGGAAGTTTCGAAAAATAAACAAAAATAACAATATTTACGAAACGCTTCGTGAACCTTTGTGCATTTGGATTTTTAAATATTCCAATAGCGGTTTGGCATAGCAATTTAAATTAGTAATTTTGAATAAGTGTTTTACTAATCATCACTCAGGGCGACATGAGGACCTGGAATACGCGCCTCCGCCACCCGGTTTATCGGCGACGAATTATCTGTGTAATTATAATTATATGTGAAAATCTTCCTCCCAGGCCCTCTCAGCCGCTGCCGCCTCGCAGAAGGATGTGACAGTGATGAAACATCTGCTTTTGTCGTACCGCGCGATAAGGGCGGGGCCCACTCATGATTGAGACTCTCCAGCATCTCTTTTCGGTTTGGACAACCCTGAAAAATGGGTTACGACTATTTGGGCGTTATTTGTTACGCCGATGTCCCGGGGACCGGACTTTGGAGAGGCCGCGCGCCTAGCCACCAGGGGAGTCTCTCTGATGGTCGGGCGCATTGTGGTGCTGGGCTTACGGGCTGACCTGGATAAGACGGAGGCCCTCTTGTGCCATGGGCCCCATCGTGGTCCGCCCTCCGGCGCCTCCATCGTGGTCAATTTGGTCCTCGGTTCAGGCCTGGCTGGAGGCTCCACGTGCCGGCTTTGCCGCCATGGAGGCGCTCTAACCGGCCATCGTCAATTGGGCAGGGCGACAGCATGGGACTCTGACTCAATTCGCCGGCGGTGAATCTGGCGGTGAAGGCGTGCGTTCGCCTCATGCTGCCCTCAGTGTGGCCGCGGGTCACGGTACGGGTTTTCACCTCCATCCGCGTGTGCCGAAGGTCGTCTAAATAGAAAGTTTAGCAGGTGCAGGAGGGGTCCAGATGATGTAATATCATCTGTTTAAACTGTGCAAGTTTAAACATAAGTTTCCAAACAATGTTAGCACCATTTACCATTTTACTTTATGTATTTTCTTTGCCCGATCTTTCCCTAATTTTAAGTTTTTGCATTTTGATATTACAGTTAGCCCTTAAAATTTTTACGTCTTATTTTGTAAAATCTTGAATAGGAAATGAGGATCAGACTGTTAGCCAATTTATTTAATCCCGAGAAGACAGCTTAAGATTAAGACGAGTTCGTTTTTATTTAACAGCTAGCTGGTACCCGCGACTTCGTTCGAGGGAGTTTGAAAAGCGCTGCCTCAGGGCCGCCAGGTACGGGTGTGCAGAGCGTGCGCACCGCACACGGGCGGAATTGCCAAGGGGGTGGCAAAAACAGACATCGAAACAAAAACGAATCTTTTTCCATAATTTGCATGTCTAATGTATTTTTATCTCATCATAGTAACATCTATTGATCAGTGTACGAAAATAAATGCGAATGTTTATATTCGTATTACTTTATTAAACGTACGTACAATTTCAATCAACCAACGCCAACAGAGCCAGAGAGCGTGTATGGAGCAGAGGCATAACCTCGTGACTAATTGCGACCATGGTGCGGAGCGACTAACTCCTCCTAGGGGCGAAGTGGGACCGGGAGGGACTTAGAACCCACTCCCGGCTCACCAGGCCCGAGATCGGATCGGGTACTGCAGGCGGCTTAAACGCACTTAAACGCAAACAAACCGTCCTTCATAAGCGCTGGGCCCGGGGTGGACAGGTGGCGACGCGACGTGCTCCGGAGCTCCTTTATTGACATTGAGAGGAAACCGTGGTCTCTACATATCAGGAGACCATCTGTAAGCCTTATCAGTAGTAAGTATTATCAGGGATTTCCTTTCTACGTTACACTTGGTTGTCCGGCTACAGCCCGTGATGGCTCGGCGTGCGGTTTTAGGGTCGGCGCTGACTAACGTCGCGGCAAGGCACGACACGGCAAGGTATCCTGCCGAAGGATGCAATGGGATGAAGCAGCATGTCAAAGCATACCGCTTCACGTCGTGGCATCTCGCAGAAAGCCCACCCATTAAATAGGACCGGCGCTGACTGAAGTCGCGACACGGTAAAAAAAAAACTACTTGGCTACAGGAGTTGTCATACCATGATACTGAAGAGGTTCTTAACATCAATTCATAGACTTTTAACACATACGGACATACGAAAATACATAAACACATGTCAGATATATGGCACACACACACACACACACATAACGTTCTATAATTATTGTATTATATCCTCGCCACTAATTATTATTATAGTGCTGTAGCTTTAGTACGTAACTATGAGCCAATAATTTTAACTCGGAGTGGAGACCTGTTGACCTATAATACAGGTTTCTACCTAGCTTGGGCACCAGTCTTCCACAATATTGTCTTGAGTGATTGTATTACTAACTAAGCTTCATATTTGTAAATACTTGAAATATTGTGGTGAAAAAGAAACATTATTATTATTATTACATATATAGTGGCATGATAATCTGTAGAATGAAACCGCATAACACGACATGCTGCGCCGTCCTGCGACATTCCACGCGCCGCGGTATAATTGTAACGAAATTAAGTAATAAATGATGATTTCTAAACTCATTGAAATAAGGATAAAAATAACTTGATCGGATATGAAATTCGTAACCACGTCCGGTGGGGGATGTCCGAAGGCAAGGCAGGAATGGCGGCTTTAGCGGCATTGCACGCGGGCGCTCGAACAGCTAGCGGCGGCTTGCGCTGCCGTAGTGGTCTAGGCCACTAGGTATACTTGAGGCCTCGGGTTGGATTCTTGGATCGAGCAAAATTTTATAGGGTTTTCCTGAGAGGATAAATCCTTTTTTTTTAAAGTTGAACCGACTTTTAAACTGCTTTTTTTTAACTGGTTTTTAGACATAGGTATCGTGCGAATAACCATGTGAGCATGAAACAACCTATTATTTTGACATTACAACAAACAGACACTTAAATTTTATTAATTGTATAGATAAAAAATTAAGAGCGTTAGTTAATTTCTTAGCTTATATTTCCTTATAAAAGATGTAACAGTAAAGTAGTTAGTATATTTAATTGTGTATACTGTTTTGTTTTGCTGTTCACCTACCTATTTATTGAGTTGTGTACACATTGAGGAGCTAATCAAAGAATAAATCTCTGTAGGTACGTACACAAGAGGATTTATTGCGATCTGAGATTTGTTTCTGACTCGCAGGACGCGAAGCGGGCGCTATAAACATTTCAGCGAACCATTACTGTACTCCGCCAAGAATTTACAGCTTTAGTTCTTTCTTTTAAAGTTTTAAACGAATTAGTGTAGTTTGATTATTTGTGCCTTACGACATAATTGAACTAGCCTTGACGAAACAAGTGGGTCAAAGTATTAATAATATAAATAAGTGTTTACTTTATTTCTAGCCAATGGAAAATGTTTTCGTACACAAGAGTATTGTAACAAACATTAGTTATCTACGACGTAAAGAATGTTTGTTGGTTCAGGTACCAAGTAAATCGAAAAATAGCTAGATCCGCTAGAGCTTATTTTAATCCAAAACTGCTATATACTTGCATTCCTTCTCATAGGATTTAAGAAACAGGCTTTAAAAATAAGTGTTTTGAAATGGACTTGGGAAACAAAGCCCTTTAAGGTCTAGTGAGTGTGAATGTGTGGGTGATTGTCACTTGTCTTGGTTGACGTGTTTGACTTTTTGACTAAATTTAATGTAATGAATAGAAGAAATGGACACAGAATTTTTTATTTACCATTTAAAGGCAAAGTAGTTTAAATTACTTTTGTCATCTGCTGGTGGATCCATTTCCTATTTTTGTGGACAAATATAGAATAGAACTACAATAAAAATAAACGCTCCTACAAATCGATTGATAAATAAACCGGACTGGGCAATGAGCATAGAATCTATGGAAGATGAATGAAGTGATTTCTTCAGTGTCATTCAAGGTTATGTTGTTTTTTGACTTCAACTAAAATTACTAAGGACTACAGTCTGTAGGGGACTTGAGGATTGACACAAATTGAGGATTTTCCGACCAGGGGAGGTAATCATGCCCGGTGATCCGATGCTCGACGGATGGTGATGGGAAGTTGTATATT